GTCCATCGCTTTGGAAGTCCTCATGATCTGAGAAATAATACATTAAAATATCAGACAGACAGATATGCAATGCACTGCTCACAGCCAATTTTTCAGGTCCTCTGTGGATAGTCAGTGTTGGAAATGACTTTTCATTTCAAATCTAACAAACCAAATCACCAGAGGCCCATCAGAGTAACTATACCATTAGCTAGAAAGAATATTCTTTCATGTTATAAAATGATATAACTTAAGTTAACATGATATAACATTAACTGTCAGACTCCTCAGTGAACTCCACTGTCAGGATTCACATTGGAGTCTGAAGGTTGGGGACCTTCCTCAGTGTGGAGAACTAACTGATATTTCAAGCATTGAGTAAAGTGTGGTCTGGTTTTGTCACCCTGCTCTTTTAGCACCCAAAACTTCCCCAGAACATCTTAGGTCCAGGAGGTGTAATTTCCTAAAACAGGAAGTGATCAATAAATGAGTTCTAGTCACTTGCAGATGCACAAAAAAAGCCTCTCCTATGCCTTAAATATGGTAACCATTCCTCTTTAGAGAATCATTGAGGTTAGGGATGCAAGTCCCCCATGAAAGTAAAAACAAACAAACAAAACACACATAAATAATAAAATTGCATTTTTTTTATTTGAGAGAACTTCTCTCCATGAATGTCTAGGTTCTTCAGCCCAACTTTATAGTCAGCTTCAGGAAGTTGACCATGGAGTTGCAGTAGAGGACCAAGAAATTGCTAGAAAAACTATTCTCTCCAGAAAGCTCTCCTCCAACAGAGGAAGTTTACCAGAGTTGTAGTGGAAGAGCTAGAGATTTATAGAGAAAATATTTTAATCAAATCCATGAATAATCTGCAAAGCTCACACATGCAAATGTGGAAGGCTGTCTATAATACCGGTAGCTTTTCTTTTTTCAGACTGGAAGCAGAAATAGGAGGAAGTTGAAGCCACTATGTGCTAATATCAAAAGTGAACTGCATGAAGGAAAAAGTGCTATTTATCACTGTTCCCGAGGGCACAAGATGCTGCTGAAAGTTACTCAGTTCTAAAACATTCCATGGATGGATCTGTGCAGATTTGAGGCCCATTTCTTTGAGACCCAACATTCACAAAGAAGAACTTGGGCCTTGGGTTCAAAGCTAAGTCCCCATAGTCCAGAAAGCATACAGGGATACAAACTGTGTATGTTTTTAAGGAGGTGTGTGTGGGTTTGTGCATGGGCCCCAGCATCTTCTGCAGACCTAATCTAGCCCTCTCCTCTCTCCTAGTTATCTACACTTCATATACTTGGTTGCCTTGGCATGTCTTTTCATGAAAAGGAATTGCACTGGTGAACACTTTGCATTGTATAAATGGGAAATTGGTCCCTTTGATGCTACTATCTGTCATATATTTCTTGTAGAACAGCCATTTATTTTGATTGCCAAGGACTGAATCAGCAGAAGTATAAATAAAACTCCCCTCTTGCAATCAGCAATGCACAGGTTTCTTTTTCTTTCCTTGGTATGGGAAGTGGCTTTCAGCAGCCTCTAAACAGCTAGACACAAATGGATACAAACAATTCAAGGCAGCTCTGCATGAAAAGGCTTGTGAAAATTAGCCTTAGTGGAATTATTATGGAAAGACTTTTGAGAAAACAAGTACCAGAGACAAATCACATGAACAAGCCTCATTTTATTTTATCTTGCCAAATTATATAGGATTTATACAGATTTTGGTTTGCTTTTAGCTGACATTCTTAGCTGGAATTGCCAAAAATTCTAGCTAATCAATCTTTTATTCATTATTTGTTGTATATATTTGTGTGTAGTCATCTGGCTTTGGGCAGGAGATATCTGTTATATATTTGCTGCCCTGTGGAATTTTTTGACTGGGCTGTTCAGTTAAGAAATAGTGTCTTCATAAAATATAATCCCAATATAATTTAAATTGAGCCAAATATTTGAGGTTGGTGCAAAGTATAATTGAATCTGTTGTCGAAGGCATTCATAGCTATAATCACTGGGTTGCTGTGAGTTTTCTGGGCTGAATGGTCATGTTCCAGAAGCATTTTCTTCTGATGTTTCACCCACATCTATGGCAGGCATCCTCAGAGGTTGTAAGGTCTCTTGGAAAATAGGCAAGTGGGTTTTATATATCTTTGGAATGTCCGGGGTGGGAGAAAGAACTCTTGTCTGTTGGAGGTAAGTGTGAATGTTGCAATTGGCCAGCTTGATTAGCATTGAATGGCCTTGTAGTTTCAAAGCCTGGCTGCTTTCTGCCTAGGGGAATCCTTTGTTGGGAGGTGTTATCTCACCTTGATTGTTTCTTGTTTGGAATCCTCCTGCTAAGAATTGAGAATCCAATTCTTCTTTTTGATGATATTTTAAATCATGGCAGTGAGCAACAGTCCTGAGTGGCTTCTGGAGGCTGAAAAATTGGACAGGGATGGTCTATGTTGTCTGTAGACTCCTCATTCCTCAAATGTGACTTAGATGTTCACTCTGGAAAACTTTCAATTCTTTAAAACATCTTGCTTCATTGTCAGGAAGAAACATTACCCTCACATTAGTTTTATTGTGTATTAAAGTGTGAATGTTATGATTGCCAGTAGTTGCTAGCAAACTGAAATTTCAATTTTCCTTTGCCACACTAACACCATTCTTTTTTTCAGCTGCCAGCAACACACAGCAGCAGCAAGTAGCTCTTTGAGAACAGTAACACTCCTGAAGGCAGTATCAAGAAGCTACAAGAAACATGACCCCAAGAAACAGCTAGCGGTCCTTTTCACTAAAGTTATTGTACCACACAAAAAATACAATAACTTTGCAGCAAGTACAGCAAGAAAGCAAAACGGTGCTGAGTGATAAAAATGATGGGTTGTCTACAATTACAGTTTCTAGACAATTGTGCTGTCTGCAGCTTTCCCAGATAGTCTCTATACAGCCAAGCTGGAGATGAGTTTACATTTTGGCTCCCACAAAGTAAGTGGACAAAAGTCAACCTGTGTAGTTTTCTGCTTTGATGAAGAGAATGTTCCCTCAAAAAAGAAAGTGCTACCATAAAATGGATTAAACTCTTCCACTACTGCTCTTGGAACCCACTAGGTCCTTTGATCTTGGATTGGTTATGACAGTCAAACAAATTCTCTATTTCTATATAGGGGATATATTTGTATATGTTGTGCAGCCCTTGACATTGAAATAAAATGTTTGAAATATATGCATATCAGTCCTAATTCAGGGTGTACCTGAAATACATCTGCACATTTGCCACTGATGAAATATAGGGAATGAAACCCTGACATGTGGAGATTTCATGTACTCAAAGGATGCAAAATATATATGGGATTTCGAGGTTATAACTTTGTTAGAATTTTAACTAGGTGTTGTTGTTGTGTTCTTTCAAGGTGTTTCTGTGACTTGTTAAAAGTGTGATTTACCCAAGGTCACCCAATGGGCTTCCATGACCAAATAGGGATTCAAAGCCTGGTCTCCAAAGTTGTAGTCTAACACTCAAACCCTTTGCAACTTCTTTTAATTAGTTAGCTTGTTATATTTATATCCCATTTCTCCTCCGATGAACCCAAGGTGGCCTACCTGGCTCTCCTCTTTTCAGCTTTATCTGCACAAGAACTATGAGGTAGATTAGGCTGGAGAGGAGGACTAACCCAAGAATACCAGTGAGAGATACAACCTGAAATTTCCAAGTACCACTTCAATACAACAACAGGTTGCCTCTATACCAAGCCGAGTCTTACAATTAGGTAATGTGGCTACATTAATGATAAAAGCTAGTTTATTTTTAGATTAGCAAGCCTTCATGGTAATTATCTGAGTTTGCATATCTTTTTACAACAGAGCCTGCCAGCTCCCCTTCCATGACACACTGCAACTTCCAGCAGGGCTCCATTGTAAAAGGGAAGGTGAAGCGATGCATGCCACCATGGCTTCCCATGTTGCCTTGGATCAACAGGAGGAAGCTGGGTGGTTGACGCTTCCTCCCATGGGATGGGGACTTCTGGTGAGTTGGGCAATGCAGGGTGTGGGGTGACTGGTTTCCTATATGGGTACTACTGGAATTGCCACAGTCACATTTGATAAGGTCGTAGCTGTTAAAGGCACTATATAAATATATATCCTACAATTGTTTTGATATATGCAGCTTCAGCTGACTTCAGCTAAAGGCAATCATATGAATGAGAAATCTCCATGGACCTCTTCATACGGGGCAAAATTACCCTGTTTTGCTGCTTTTATTCATCATTTGGACAGGGTCTGCCGAGCGCCATCAGATGATGCACTTCCTCCACCACATGTGGTGCTACCCGCACTTTCCTCCCCTTTTCTTCATATGATGGGAGAAAGGGTGGTGGGGCAATCTGCGTTGCCACACATTGCTGCCCTTTCTCCCATATGATGGGGACAGGTACAGGGTGCCAACGTGTCCTTCCAGTCCCCACTGTATGACGGGGGAAGGAGGGAGGGTGTGTGAGGTGCCACGGGCTGCCCTGTGCGGCTTCCCTTTTGCTGGCAACTGCCGGTGACAGCATGGCCCGAAAGGGCGATGTGAAGAGGTCACTATGTCATCAACAGTTATTTGCAAGTCTTGCAGATTCAGGGCCATGGCTTCTGCCTACATTGAGATTTTCTGTCTGGAATGCAGTCCTCCTCTTTTTCTATTGCCTTCTAACTTTTCAAGCATTACTGTGTTTTTCTAGTGAATCATCTCTTCTCATGATAGGCCCAAAGTAAGACAGTTTAGTCGTCTTCTAAGAAAAAGTCAGGTTAGATTTTTTAAAGGACCTATTCATTGTCTTTTTGCACAGTATCTGTTGAACTTTTCTTCAGTACCACATTTCAAATGATTCCCAGCAATGCCTCCCAGCCACAATTATGTCAAAGTGGCAGAATATCCTTAAATACCAATGCAATTTTATGAGAGTCAGTGTGGTGCAGTGAAAAGCATGACTTCAGGCACTTTTCTTCGCATTTAGATCTTTGAGGTTATTTCTGAAAATTAGAGAAGTACACTACTACAGAACTGACGCTGTGAAGCAAGGCAAAACATTTTTGCTTTGTTTCACAATTTAGTCAGAGATCTCCAAATTGTCCATCATCACCCATCAACACTGGGCAGTCTGGAGAATACTGCATCAACAACAGGAAGAGGAAAAGCTGATGACAATGACTTGACACTGCATGCTGTGACTAATATCACACATTATACAGATCAGAAATTGGAGAAGCCAGAAACGTAATTTAGAAATGAGTGTTATGTTAAATACATACTCAAGGCAGCAATAATGCAATACTCTGTCCTCTCCACCGGCACCATGTTACCTTGCTTGTCCCTGAGATGGAGCCTATTGCTGACAACTACAGGTAATGAATAATACTAATAATATTAAAATACTGTTAATGGTGATAGATATTTTTGATATAAATATCAGGATGAATAAGAAAAAAGTAATAATATAGAATCCATAAGAATAATTCTATACAATCCATAAATCCATATTTTTAAAGCATTGACTTTCATAGATTACAGGCTGCTACCTGATATGCATTGAGGGAATGGAATTATATCATTGTGAGATCAAAGTGGGTTACAAAAGTAGTCACTTACCTTTTCATTACCACAGATCCCCTTAAGATATCTTTTGTTGATCTGGACCACCAAGACTTAATTTGAGATTTAAAATCCTAAAGTCTATCAAATATTTATTTAATGTTGCTCATCAAGGATCTTCACATTTGGAGAGAAGGGAGAAAAAAAGTAAATGCTTTAACTTGAAGACAAACGATGGGGGAAGTTACATTTCTTGTGAGAACATCATGCCATCCAGGGCTCTATGACCTCCAGTTTAGAATAAGGACAATTCTAACAGTACTTTTAAACCTTCAAATAATTACTTTACCATAAACATTCAAGTATTTGGAAATGAATATACAGATCTCCTGAGCCATTGTCTTTGAGATATGAGAGGAATACATTTTCCTTCCAGGGAAAGTTTGTTTTGTTGTGTGAAATTAGCCCTAGCATGTTTGCATGCCTTACTTTCAAGATCCATGCAATAAAGTTAATATACCAGCATTACTTACACATGGAATATCTTTTTCAAAATTATAGAAAATTCATATAGCATTAGAGTCTAGCATTAATTTAGAATTAGAAGATTGTTATCATTAGATTTTGAATTAATATTGTTATTACATGATTAACCTTCTGAAAAGATGCATTAATATTTTTATTATGAGAGATGAAAAATATTGAATTTTGTAAGATTTTTAAAGTGTTAAGATTGGTGCTCAATTCAGAATCTTGTATATTTGTCATTTCTGCTAAGCAGATCAATTTGGCATTTTGTATAAACTGTCTGGGATGCCTATGGAGAGCAAAGCTCTTTCATAAAATAATTTTAAAACAAACAAAGCTATGAATGCAAAGAAATTCTTCATTTTTTGTTTGGATTTTGCTCTATTATTGACTACATGTTTTCTGCTATACCTAGACTAGATGACAATTATATAGAGAGATTGTTTTTAAAAGAATCAAAACAGAAATATAGATGTCATGATGTTTTCCAACAAGAACTGATGCCAGTTTTAAGAACCAGTATAAGTATTGCATTATACTTTCTAATTTATTTGTGCCAGTGGAAAATTTATGAAACAACAAGTGGCAGGTCTGACACTTTTCTACAAAAGTATTCCTTAGGTTAAAAGTATAGAAAATAAATGCTGCAAAATTATATCCAACAAGAAGCGGTTTTGTCCAACTATAGCAATTGTAAATCGTGCTACTTTCCTGCTGCCATCCACAGAATGTGGTGGCTAGTAGGGTTCAAAGGTACACAAGCTATGGCCACCCAACCATCACAGGCAAATGTGTTGGTTGGGTGGACACTGTGGTCTTGCAACATATGGAAAATCCAACAGTTTGTCTGCATATTTTTATGCATTTTCTTATATAGAGAAATAGGATCTTTGTTGGAGAGCAATCAGACTAAACACCCCTACTTTCTTAGCAAAAGATCAGCCTGAAATGAAAGAATATGATCCCATGGTAATTGCACTGATGGGAAACCCCTTGCAGTTGAAGTCTGTGGTCTGATTTTACAGATATCTGTTGTCGTGCTTTCTAGCAGGTTTCGTTTTAAATACTCTTGTCTCTTAAGGGCACATTACTCATATTCTCATAGCTCTTCCTCTTATTGTTTCATGTTGACTGAGGAGTTGTTGTGTGTCTTCAAGTCATGCCCAACTTAGGGTGATCCTAGGGTGAACCTCACATGAGGTTCGTAGTTGCCTTCCTTTGAGGTAGAGAGCACCCAGAGGGTTCAATGGGTCAAATGAGGTTTCAAAGCCTGGTCTCCTCCCAAACCACTGCACCAAGCTGGTTGTTTCTTATAGTATAACACTGGTAGAAATATTGTAGCTTATATTATAGCCATGCAAAAGAACAAATTCTGTCATCAAAGGTCTCAGAAGTTCTTTATATGGAAGCTGGATTTTGTCTCCAGTGAGCTCTTTCTGTATAGCTTCTAAAATTAATAAGTATAAAATGCCACCTACTAAAAAGATACCAGATGTTATATTATATATTTTAAGAACATTAAGCCATATCTCCAAGTTAAACACTGTTCCTAAGATATTAACCCTTAAAACACTTAAAATACATAATATGCATATTACATACTAAAAACAGCATTCCCCATTGAATATCTCTCTGAGCTGGTCAGTTCAGGCCAAATATGTGTTAAAACAGCAAGGTCTTTGCTAGTGAAAAGGCAGCAGAGGAGGGACAGTTCAAACATCTAAAGAAAGGGAGTTCAGAAGCTGAGGAGTAGCCACTGAGAAAGGTGTCTCCTATCCTCACCAGTCAAGCCTGTCAGGGTGATTGGATGCAGAAAAAAACCCCTCCCTTGAAAATTGTAAGACTTGGTCAAGATCATAGAGAAAAACCAATATTTCATGTATTATTTACTACAGTAATACCAATCATTGCAGAAGTATGCTGCTTAATGAAGTGTATTGGGTGAAAATTATTGAACAACAAAAAAGATAAATGTTGGGTAAGGGAAAAAATGAACACTCCATCCTGAGTCTCATTTATAGAGTTGCCATAATGGAAACGGAAGACACTTTTTTTTTACTTTAACAGGAGGCATAGTTTGTCATATAAACAGGTAAAAAAGCAACACCTGCTGAAGTTCCAACTTTTATACAACCATTTAAAGTATAAGAGCCTTCTCTAATTTTCTATTTGGTGACCCTAGCACTCATCAATTTTGTTCCTCCATTGCTCCCTTTTCAGGCAATTGAGCTTCAAGATGTGTGTGTATGTTTTGAAATGGCAATTTTCCTATCAGGCTTTCAGAAACAGACAAGAATCTCTGTAGATACTCTGCTATTTGATGTAATATCATTTATCTGTGCTAACTAAAGTATTTTTCTCAACAGGTTTCATGGTAACAGGTGATGAAAAGTTAGTACAAGGGAAAATAGGTCAGGACCTCACTTTGCCCTGCCATTATTCTGTGTCTAAATATGGGGCCACAACCATGTGTTGGGGGCGAGGAAGTTGTCCTTCATCTTTATGTTCTGACCCAATTATCTGGACTGATACATCTCATAAAATAATCCCTCAATCCAGCCGTTACCACCTGATGGGAGATATTAGACATGGTGATGTGTCCCTGACCATTCTGAATGTCACAGTAAAAGATGCAGGGATGTATTGTTGCCGTGTGGAAATACCAGGCTTGTTCAATGATCTGAAAATCCATGTTCAAACTATGATCAAGAAAGGTGAGCAGAGCACTTCCATTGGACAATTTGTTATACTACACAGGAATTATTATTTATCACCTATTATTATTAAAGCTATTAGAGAAACATGTCCCAATTGTTCTATTTGTTTATTTAAAATTTCCATTTGCTATTCTTGAGCTGTGTTATAAGTATATCTTGATGTTGTTTATTTGACTGTCCATGATTTGATGTGTTTTGATATGTTCTTCTTGGCATTGAATGTTCGCCAATTTTTGTTGTAAATTGTCCTAAGTCCCTTTTGGGAGATAGGGTGGCATAGACATAAAGTTATTATTATTATTATTATTATTATTATTATTATTATTATTATTATTTTGTCACAAAAACACAGCATGACACAGATATATATGCTGGATTTCGTATCACAAAATCACAAGTCAAACACTTCCCTGTGTGATGTATTTTATTATTTGTTTTGTAGTGGGATACATACTTTTAAAATTTTGAAAACATTTTAAAAAAACTAATTATTTAAATACAACTTCTCAGAACAATATTTAGTACTTTTGTTCTATTGACTAGCAGTTCCACATCTTACCAACTAAAGTGCCTTCAAAAATGATTAAATGTATTGGCAGATAATGGCTGTTTTATAGACATTAATTATAATTGCTAAATGATACTTAAAACTATACATGGCCAGCTTTTTAAAGTCCAGCAAGGCAGATTTTTTACTTTACAACGATATCCCTGAGTTCTTCATAAAAGTAGGCCCAATCACTTCATCTCCTTCAATTAAGAACATACATCTTCATAATGAATATGCATCCCTGAATATATATAATTAGAAACAAAACTAGCTGAAAGACTGTTTCTCACTACATGAGCCTGCTATGTTTAAAAATTATTGGAGGAAGGCCTTCTTCTGGTCCTACCACTAATTCAGGCCATGTTTGTTGAGGGCTTATGAGAAGACCTTGCTGGCTACATACATACATCGGTAAACACAATTGACATGCAATGGAAGACAGAGATCAGAAGCTATTGAGAGAATCTCATTGCCTTTTGTGAATAGATGTCCTTTTTCATAGATTTATTCCCTCCTCTAGTGTCTCAATCAATAGTGAATGTTTTTATTATTTATTGCCATATGATTTTCTGTGGTCAATTGCCTTAAAGTTGGCTTTGGCTTACAAGAGGCCTCCAAATTATGCATATCATTAGGTCTTTGCAAACATAGGCCTGTGGTTTTCTTGATTGAGACTATTCATCTGTAATGCAGATTTCCCTTTTTCTTACTGCCTTCTGTCTTACCAAGTATTATTCTCTTTTCTAATAAGACATATCTTCTCATGATACATCCAAAATATGTCAGTCTCCACTTAGTCATTCCTTTCTAAAGAAAGTTTAGGCATTATTTACTCCAGAACCCATTCATTTCTCTTTTTTGTCAGTTCATGATATCTGTAAAACTCTCCACCAACACCACATTTTGAAGGAGTTAATTTTCCTCCTCCCAGCTTTCTTCACTATCGAGCTTTCATGGCCATACAGAGAAATAAGAAATACTAGAAAGTTGAAAATCCTGATTTTGATGTTCAGTGATGTCACTTGTCATTATTTGTTGCCATATAATCTTGTGGTGCAATTCCAAAAACCAATAATAAAGATTCCAAAGCAATATTGTTGTTTTGAGGACATACGTTCAAAGTTAATGTTGCAAAGATACACGCAACTGCTATATATATTGTGTGGTATAAATGACTCCCTGCCTCTCTCATTTTTTCTCAGGAAGCTCAGGTCCAACTTCACTAACGGTACCAGGTATGTATATAGATTGTCTTCTTCTTACCTGAGGCAGGAGGTATCACTGTTATGATCATGTTTCTGATGCCTAGTTAGAGCCATATCTATTTTATAAAACAACAAAACGATGTAGTTGTGGTTGTACTCTTATGGGATAGCAATATTTCTCTGCAATATTTGTAATATACTAATAAGAATTTTCACCATCTGTTTAATTCTACTATTAAGTCAGGCAGGATTTATTCTATCTTAAAGAGTTATCAACTGAACCCAACCTATTTGAGGAACAGAAATTCCAACTAGGGCATAACTTTGGGTGTGCCACAAGACAGGGTTTTGTGATGAGTAGTGGCTAAAATGTCTGGATATACAAAAAGCTTGGGAAAGTTAACTTTTTTGGACCACAGCTCTTCATACCATGCTGCAGATACATGTTTGTTATATTGTTTTAACAGCTATTTTGTTTTTATCACCACCATTATATTATTGCTGCTATTACTTTAAAAAAGCTCCTTTTTATCCAATGAGCTCATGGCTCTCTTTTTTCACACTTCCGCCATTTCAGTGGCTTAGTGAATCCTAGTTTTAGTCCAAATTTTAAAGGAGCTTTCCAAGATGCCAAACTTTATTCCTAAAAAAGGTTTAGAACTTTGGATAGGCTTTTAAAGTTCAAACTCTTAGAGTGGCTTCACTGAAGAGAATCAACAAATTTTACTGTTTACCAACTGAGAAAGAAGGACTGTCCCAAGATCAACCAAATCCATCAGTGATTTATTTTATGGTACTTTTATTCTTCTGTTCAAAAAACATTTTGTGATCAGAACAAAATTTTCCACTGCTTTTTCACAACTTTAATTCCTCCGTAAATACATTCAGTCTTTCAGTGGTAAAACCATTGTTCTTCTGATACTTATCTTGTCTAATCCTTTCAATCTTATCTTATGGTTGTTTAAAGGGAGTTCTGAAAGAATTTGTAGGAAAGTGCTTTATCTTTCAGTGGATAATGGCTATCTATTTTCTCAGCATTCTAGGTATCAAGATGTATCTTGTGTTTATCTCCTTAAAACAGTAGTATAGTTTTCCATCATACTTTTGGTATTTTGATGTGTTTTCTCTCATAACTGTTTTATTTTCTGAACTGCTTTCCCATCTCCTTGTAGATTTCAAAATAGCAAGATAGAAATACGTTTTATTAATAACTAAAGTTTGGGTTTTACCATTATTTGTTTTAGTTTCAGATAGTTCATTTGCTTGACATCTAAAAGGTTGTTATAGATCATGAAATACACTTCTCCTTTCACAGAGAAACGAAATCTTTTAAAAGTTTCTATTTTAAAACCAGTGGCACAAGTTGTTCTCAGATGCATGACTAAAGGGGAAGTACTCCACTTTCAAGTCACAAATTCTATCTTAGTGTTTTTATATTTAACTATAAACATTGATTATCAGATTGGACTAAAAAACCCAATAAATCTGCAAAGGTTTTCATGGACTCATGATCATGAATGAAGCCTGTCATTATGGATAAATGCGAATGAGCCTATTTCTCAGCCTGTCATTATGGATAAAATCTGTCAAGCATGATGAAGGGCAGAAATATGGTCACATCATTTAAATGGATATCAGGCAATCATTTGGCTAGATTTAATGCATGTAAAAGTCATCTTTGTTCCGGTGGGGATAGCCAAACACTATGTTGTCTTGCTCAGAAGTAAAAGAGCCTTACTGAGTTTAGTGCTAAAAAGACAAACAAATAGGTCCAAGAGCAACTCAATACTGAACCTTCTCTAGAAGCCAAGATGAGTAAACCAAAGCTGTCATGCTTTGGACATATTACGAGAAGCTGTGGCTCACTAGAAAAGATAATACTTGGTAAGGTGGAAGGTAGTAGGAAGAAAAGAGAACTGCATTATAATGAGATAGACTCGATTAAGGAATCGATTACCTTGGGTCTGCAGGACCTAAAGAGGGCTGTTGATGATAGGGGATTTGGATGTCTCTCATTCATAGTCTCACCATAACATTTGGTTCCCGGAGAGCAGATTTAGGTGGAGATTCTGCTGGCTGGTAGAACTGGTAGTAGTGGCAGGAGTGAAATGCTGAAGAAGTAAAAAATATGGGTACTTATGGGGGTGGGGGAGGGAGATGGGGGGAGAAAGCTGCCTTTATCTGCAAAGAAAGCTGATAGTTATTGAGCAGCATATTTTCCACAATGATTGGCTCTTGAGTTGCCTTTGAAGCTAAAAGTGGTCTGGGAAGAAAATCCCATGAACAGGACAGATCGTTTTCCAAAGCCATATTCTCAAATTCTGGTTAGCTTTCATTCAAAACTCCCTGAATTGTAGCAATTAACTGCTCAGTAGCTAACAATTTTATATCCTGGTGGTAATGGAAAAATCTTTCTCTGCCTTTTCCCACTTTGCTACCCAGTTCTGAAGGAAAATATGCAGTAAAATAACAGAACAATGAACTAACAAGGTTCTAGTCTTCAGCTTCACTGTAAACATTAAATGGTAACAAATACGTGGGTTTAGTACTGTGAAGACTGGCAGATGATAGTAAGTCTAAAAGAAAAATAGCACCAAATGGTTACAAATACCCTGTTACACCTTCTTAGTTTTGTATAATTGCCCATTTTCACATTCAAAAACATTACAGCAATGGGACAAAGGTGATGGATGATTAGGGGGGTAATATTGGGACTGTCATGCTATAGATCCTAGTAACCTCTGAGCCATGAAAAACATCAGTTGACTGTAGCTCACTCATTCATTTTCAGCCTGATCTACCTCATAAGATTGTTAGAATGAAAGTGAGAACACAACTATCTACATTGTGTAGAGTTCATTGGAGAACTTTTATATATACATATGATTAGTAACTGATTTGCATTCCTTTTAATTCAGATGTAAGCAAAGAATATCCCTTCAGATGTTGTTGGCTTGCAGCTCCTATCAACCCTAGCGAGTTCAGTCAATAAACAGGAATGCTGGGACTTTACAAAGTCTAGGGTTACAACATGAAGGGCCCATCCAGACAGGCCCAAAATTTGGGGCCTGTCTGGTTTTTACTGGGGGTGTCCAAAAGATGCCCCTGGTAAAAATGAATTAATTGGGAATAACCTTGGTTAATCCGAATAAATCAAATACTTCATTAAATCCAGACCTTCCTGAAAGGCCCAGGTATAATGGTGTATTGGACCTGTGGGGACTCACTGCCAGGTAGTCCCAGTACTACCCAAGGGTGAGAACCCACTTGCCATTCCAAATCTTTCAGGCTTCTGCAGCCCAAAGGTCTGGGATGGCATGGCACCCAACCCCTCCACAGCCCCCAAGACAACCTTAAAACTTGTAAAAAAAAAAACCCTACCTGGCGGCCATTAAAGTCCTTCTTGTGACCTCCTGGCATGAGAAAATGATGTGGCAGGATAATCGAATCATAGAATCATAGAGTTGGAAGAGACCTCATGGGCCATCCAGTCCAACCCCCTGCCAAGAAGCCGGAATATTGCATTCAAAGCACCCCTGACAGATGGCCATCCAGCCTCTGTTTAAAAGCTTCCAAAGAAGGAGCCTCCACCACACTCCGGGGCAGAGAGTTCCACTGCTGAATGGCTCTCACAGTCAGGAAGTTCTTCCTGATGTTTAGATGGAATCTCCTTTCTTGTAGTTTGAAACCATTGTTCTATGTCGTAGTCTCCAGGGAAGAAGAAAAGAGGCTTGCTCCCTTCTCCCTGTGACTGGGGGAAGGGGGGCAGAAGGGATTTTCCTTCTCTCCCCCCCCCCCCCCTAGCCTCCTAGCACATCATTTCCTTGCACCAGGAGAATGCAAGGAGGACCCTAATGGGGAGCAGGCAAGGGTGGGTTTTTTTTTGTTTTAAGGGTTGTTTTAGGGCGTTTTGGGTGACTGCATGCCATCCTTATTGTTTTTTGGGGGGAATGGGAATCTGCCCAAAAGTGGGTTTCTTAAATCTGCTTTGGCATGGATTTTGACACGGTCTGGAAGTGCCTGAAGTGACAGAGAGCTTTGTCATTGATTTGTCTTGTGTGTTCACATATTATAGTAATAACATTCTAAATATGCTGCTTTAGCACTTAGTGGTCCAACTACAGTAGACTTCACTAAATCTTACTTTGCTTTAGAACCAAGATGGATATCTAGTACAGAACTTCCACCAGACAGTACAGAAGTTCCACCACATGTAAGTATTTAATTGCCTCTTTGCAGATCTGTTAAAATGCCAAATCTATTATTTTCAGTTTACCATATCTGTATCTGTTTCTTCTGCTGACTTTCCCACATTGAATTTCAGACTGCAATGTGTACTAGGCAAGACAAAGTTTTCTGGGACATCTACATTGTTAATGCAGCTTGACACCACTTTAACTGCCATAGCTCTATGGAAGGGAACCTGGGAATTGTAGTTTGGTGCATCATAGCACTCTTTGGCAGAGATGGCTGAAGACCTTGTGAAACTACAACTTGCACGATCCCAGCATTCAATTTTGATGTTTAAAATTTGGTGTCAAACTGCATTCATTCTGCATTGCAGATATATCCTTATGCACATCGTTGGCTCTCTGAAGCATTATAATCATTGTTGTACTCATCATGTTTTTTGCTGTTACTATGATTCAAGCTCATCCGATTGCATATATGGGTTAAAAATATTCAGGACTATTACCTTTAGTGGATGAGCCCATCTCATCCAGATAATGCAGTTCAAATTAGGCTGTCACCCTATTCAAACAAGACAAAATGAAGCATGAGAAAGATTAAACTGATTGGTTCATTTATTCTGCTTCTGCTAGTAATGAGATATATCAGGAAGAGTCTGTACAAAAGATGAATTAATTTCTTCCTCAAATCACGAAAAATGTGTTCAACACACTTTCTGACTCCTAAGATTTCACTAGGTAGCATTTTATACCCCCCCCCCCCCAAATTGATCTTTTTCATTTGCTCTCTTTCCATCTCTGGACTCATTATCAGGACTGTGAATTCTATGACTAACCCTCTGCTTTCCTAGCATAAGCCCCAAAGCATATATAAAGTTATTCAGACACAATGCTAAACTACACCATAGTATTATGAGCATAAGACTTGGGCTGTCATCATCCCATTCCTCCTTCATCATCTCCCCACCCCAAGTAATTTACTTAAGAGTAAATTACACACTTATATTTTCCCAGAATCCAGTTTCCATTAAAACATGAGGGCACTTGTTAAATTTTCTTATAAGCAACATATACCTGGAATAAACTCAATAGTTATGGCACTTGAATTCACTTTAACTACCATGGCAACATCCTATGGAATCCTGGAATTGTAAAGCTCTATTAGAGAGTGCCTTTAGATCCTCAGGCTAGATCCACACAGCCATATAATCCAATATCTGGTCCCAGATTATCTGCTTTGAACTGGATTATATGAATCTACAATCCCATTCAAAACAGATAATCTTGTATCAGAAACTTGATTATACGGCAGTGTAGATGGAGCCTCAGGATTCAGCCATGCAGCTAAAGTGGAATCATAGTATTATAACCGTGCATTGTTAAAGGGTCCATATTCTTCCATACTCTTCTACTCATACAGCTTCAGCTGCATTCTCCATTTTGACGGTCTTCTTTCTGCTGGTCCACTTTATGCATATGTCAACATTTTGATGGTGGGATGGACACAGCATTCCATTGTAACCTGAACACCTATCATGTATGGAGCATAATGTATGAGTAGATTATAACCTGCCTGAAAACCATGATTAATATTCAAGCTTGATCATATTTTGTGGGAAAGTTTGTGTTAGGTGATGGTAACCTAGGGAGCTATCTAAACTCCCTTAAAAATGATATCACATTCTGCCTCATCACATTAAGGTTTTAATGTTGACAGCCCCGGTATTCTGAAGCAAACAGAATTCTGGGAAATGTAGTTTGGAAAGCTGAAAAACCTCTGTGGCAGAGAATTCAAAAGGTCCTGCCCTAAATTACATTTCCCAGAATTTGGCTTACTTCAGAATACTTGGGATGTCTGTGTTAAAGCCTCAACACAATGAAGCATCTCCAAATGGCTCCTACTTCTGGTTTTCCACTGGGCTTAACTGGAAATAAAGAAATCAAATTAATGTTACTGGATTTGGGCCTTACATGGATTAATTCAGTTCCCCAATAGGATGAAAAAGGTGCAAAAGACACTGGAGGAAGGAAGAATGGAAATATTAGTACTCCTTGATCAGTAGGGTTAGTTTCCCCATGTTGACACAAAAACTTTTGCTGCCTGAGGCAAAGGGCAAATAGTACTACCTCTCTTCTGCAATAACCCAGGTTCAGGTTTGAAACCTGACAACACTGACAACTGAATCTTATTTCAGCACTGGCAATGACGTAGCTCCATGCATAGCTATGTTCCATACCCTTCAACCTCTCACAGAAGAAAATTGCAACTTGGTTAGACAAGCTGTATTGGAGAATGGTCAAGATAGCAAATTGTATTAATGAGGAAAAATACTCAAGCTAGGAGAGGTGTGGCAGCAGTTTGCTTTTTTACTACTTTAGCTCTTCAGCTGAGTATTCAGATGAAGGCAGAAAGTAGTAGGATGTCACAGAAGCTGAGGCGTTTTTGAAGTAGTTGAAAAAAATGGGATGACAGAGGGTTAATTGAGAAGAATTCTGCCAAATTAGTAAAGTTGGAAATTATGTTATGCATCCCATGTCATCATATGTGTTTGGGTAGGGCTAGCAGAGTGGATTCCAGGATTACTTCTCCTTGGGCCATAATAAAACTAACTCTGGGCTTGAAAGTATTTGAAAAGTGATTTTACATAGTTTTAAGTGTGAATTAATATTTTTACATTTTACTGCTCTGAGGGTTCATTTAAAAAGCTATTAATTCCATTTTGAATTAACTTCAGTTGAATGGGTTTTTCAAAACACAATCTCTAAAAAGAAGAGGCAAATGTTTACATTAGTGTTTATATAATTGCTTCTCCAATATTTCTACTCAATGCTTTTTCAGAATGTTTCTTTATATTTCTTCACACTGATGAAAGAGCAAAGGAAGAAAGAACCTGCTTGGACAGGCTTATATGTTGGCATTGGAGTTTGTTCAGTGTTACTAATCATTGTAACTTTGTTGCTACTAAAGTGTAAGTATGGATTTTCAAAACCTTTCTCTCTGCATTTTTCAACCTTGGAAAAGGTACAAGAGAACCTCTCATGGCAGACATAGGGCCCTTCTATACTGCCATATAATTCAGAACATCATAGCAGATGATCCACATTATCTGCTTTGAACTGGATTATCTGAGTCTACACTGACATATAATCCAGTCTAAAGCAGATAATCTGGATTTTATACAGTTGTCTAGAAGGAACCATAATTGCCAGAGTTTGATGTTGGTGTGTGATTATATTCATTTTAGGTGGAATTCCATCCATAAATCAAAGTGTAGCCTCTTTATGGCAATACACAAAATTGCCTTCAAGCAATGCCCAGGGTTGGCTAGTGACTTCATGTGGAATTTTCTCCAGGTTTCTTTCCGATTTTTGAAGCAGTAGTCCAAGGTTTTGAATCTATTCTAGAACCAGGCTTCAGTATTTTGAATAACTCCTTTAAAGTTGAGATAGAAACCACAGTGGACTCACCAGCCTATCCATTGTACTTGGCCCTGCCCACTTGGCTCATTTTTTTAATTTATGTTACATTCTGTGTTTATTTTGTATTATTTTCTTTTGATATATTTTCTTGTATTTTAATTTGATGTATTATTATATGATTGTATGTTGTATTCTTTTTGCCTTGTTGTAACTGTTGGGCTTGGCCTCATGTTAGCTCCCCTGGCTCCCCTTGGGGAGATGATGGTGGGGTATAAATAAAGTTTTATTATTATTATTTATTATGCCGCATAGAAGCTAATGCTACCATCTCTATTTATTAAGGCTTGTTAACATGCATCAACATGGGTAAAAAAAACAAGAGCCTTCAATTGGCTGCCTTATATTTTCTGTGTGATTTTAAATTGCTGTTATTTTTACTATCATGCAGGGTATTTACTAAAAAAGCAGAAGATGACTAATTCTGTAAGGTAATTATTACCCACTATTTATTTGTTTTAGCTTGGCTTTTAAGACTCATGGAGACAACAACCATTTTCTTCCATTAGTTTCAAACATACCACTTGATTCCTTTATGCTAAAACATGCTAACAAGACTGTAAATATTTCTGCATATAACAAGGAATGACATGAATATTAGCATGCAAAAAGAGTCAGAAAATAACAACAACAACAACAACAACAACAACAACTTTATTGGCAGTCCGCCCTATCTCCCTGAGTGGGACTCAGGGCGGTTTCCAACATGTATGGTAAACATTCAATGCCAAAGGAAAAACATTCAAACAAATTACATGAAGACAATCATATTAAACAATATAAAAGCAATCTAACTCTTAATAACAGACAAAGTAGCTGATTATAAGAACTTAAATAATGTATGCGTATATAACAATTAATATAAATTCAACATTAAAAAAGAACAACTAAAATGATAGCTAAAACTTTATAAAAGGTGACATGTTGTGCCACAACTGAGTTTACTAGTGACATGCTAAATCATGGGCAATGCTTACATATCATGCAAACAAAAACATTCCTAGATAAGTCAGTGCGTTACTGTTAATGAAAGTATCTCATTCAAATTCATGCATTTGTTCCTACTTTATTTTTACAGTCAGATGGTCTTTTCAAACTCTGGAGGCATGCAGCAGGTTCTGGAAGCTGGTGTCCATGCACTGGAAAACGTTTATGATTTCAACTGAATGACTGACATATATTGTTGACTTTATCTCATATGAACAACTAAAAGAATGGAGTCATTGCACAGAGGAAGAGCAATTATCAAAGAAAATCAATAGACATCAAGCATGAAGAGTGTTGGTTGGACAGAAAAGCATGATACATCAGTCCACATTAAGAGACAGTATGACTATAGTTATATTTTGGTGTAAATTGTTCTCTAGTAGAGAATTAAGAAAAGCAAACTAGAAATATGTAAACACAAACTTTATGCCATTTTTTCTTCTGACTAAAGATTCCAAAGTTATTGCTTGTTTCTTTTATAGAAAGATAAAGATATAAAATATCAACTCTTTTCTTGCTTCATGAAGTTCTCTTGCAAGAGAAAAAAATAGGATTATCGGAGGGAACAAAACACTTTATGGGTCTTTCTGTGGCCTAGTGAGCCAGTGTTCTGATTTCTATAACCACATAGTCAACTCCTTTGTTTTGCATCCTTTTTCTCTCTCAAGAATGTTGATTGGAAATCAAGGGGTGTCAATGTAGCCCACAAACTTTGATATGGTGTAAATAAGGCACAGCATACCAATAGACCTGAGTTCAAGACACAGTTACACATCTAGAATTTTGTATGAGAGATTCTTAGCACAAAAGCTCTCTGAAGGTTGGGACAAGATATGTTAACCGGGCACTGACTACACAAGCCAGCAGTATTTACTGATTTGAGTGTTGAACTACAGTTGTGGAGACCAGGACTCGAATGGCAATGGAAACCCATTGGATAACACTCTCTTAGGCTGGTTCTACACTGCCATATAACATAGTTTGAACTGTATTATATGGTCAGTGTAGAATCAAACAATGCAGTTCAACACAATTCACGCTGCATTATATGACTTTACAATGACCATGATAGAACCTTATGTGTTTTATATGAGCAATGAAGTTTTTATGTGTTGTCGAAGGCTTTCATGGCCAGAATCACTGAGTTGCTGTGGGTTTTCCAGGCTATAATGAAGTTTTGTTTTGTATCTGTATATACATTTGCCTTAGTCTATGAAAGCATGTGTTACCAACTTCTTTCAGTTAGTCTCAAATGTGCTACAGTATCCTTTTGTTCTGGATATAGTTTACAATGCAGTATGTTCTAAATAAAATAAAAGTTTGATTTTTTTCACCCACCCTTGATTGGGAAAGTTTTAAATAAATAAACTTTATTGGCCATCTGAAGTCTATCCTGATGATAATTGTTGTATAATTGATCTGTATTTTGATTTATTAGAAAATAAGCAGGGTAATATGCTTTGCAAGCCATCTTTTAAATGTGTTTATGTCAAAATATAATTCATGGGATTTTTAAAAAGAGAGGGGAATGTAGCATTGAGAGCATTCAAGTAAACAGTTTAAGGTAAGACTCTAAATTAGGGTTTGGGCAAAGGTAGATTGAGACTTACCAGTAGATTTCTGGATGTTTTGCAGTTGATTGGTATGAGTTTCTGTCTTTCCTTTGTTCATCAATACTGCAATAACACCTAAAATAGCATTCAGGAAAAAGACAGTTTTGGGGAATCAGCAGTATATGTAACTATATGCCTTTTGTACATTGTTCTGGCAGGTAGGATATTGAGTTTTTCTGCTCTGCACATTTTTCAAAAGTTCCCCTTTGAGTTCTGGGATGAACAGTGATCCAACTTTACTTTGCACATAGCTCACTAGAGGGCACTAAAGGCACTCCTTATATTTATTGCTTTGAAGTTTACATTCCACATACATTTCATTTCATTTTATTGGAGTGGAGGAGTTTTCTGGTTTTACTATTTTGAATTGTTCCAATTCAATGCAACTTTCCACAATACTATACAAATGAAACTGCACCCCAAAACCAAACCAGAAGCTTTAGCTGGGGTTTGCCATTCCTTTGGATGTTTGTTACTAACAGCTTTATTTGGGGTAAAGATACTATAAATGGATAATTTGGGTAACAAGAGTACAAAAGAGTGTATGAAGAATTACAGCAGTTACATTACTACTCTTTCCTCTCTCCCACACAGCAGTTCATTAAATTAGGAGGAAAAATGAGGAATATGTCAGATTGGAAGTTTTGGCATTTCTGCACCACTCCACTTGTTCCAAGAGAAAGGGAGAGAACTATATTGCTTGAGAAGCTAGTTAAGAAAGGAGTGGGTGGGAGCTGACACATGTGACAATTCTGTATGGCATATGTTTGGTTTCACTATCACAATGTACACCTCTATCCCCAAAATATTCCGTTCTGACAAATTTCTAGAAAGCTGTGCAATGTGTTTTTGAGCTTCATCAGGCATTCATATTTTAATATATGTCTCTCTTCCCTTGGTAAGAAGAGTGAATGAATCTCAAGATAATTGTGCAAACTTTCAGCTCAAGTTTCTAGCATTGCAGTAACTTCAGTTTTGGACCCTTTCCCATTGCATCATTATAGCACCATGATTCCACTTCAACTATCAGGGCTACAGTCTATGGAGGTCTCAGGAGAGCAGGTTAGGAAGTCACTGGTTGTGAATTATAAACACTGCTCCAGAAGGCGAAAATCCCAGGATTCTATAGGATGACAGTTAAATTTAAATTGTATTGTAATGTAAAAAGGGACTAGGTTTCAAGAAACACACAAGAACAATATTTGCTGGTGTACACTTACATGAAACATCACCAGTGTGATGTCATATAATGTCCCATTGTGAAACTTTGTAAGTGTGAATTTTTTTTAAAAAATGCTGTTAACAGACTGAAAAAAAGTTTCTAACCACGCAGAAGCACAAATAGCAGCAGCTGCGAGGAAGAAATGGGGAGTGATCAACCTTATTCAATACATTATTCAATTCTTTTCCTGCCTTGCCCAGTGAAATGGAAAATAAAATAAATATTTTTCACCCAACCCTCATTTCTCTATGAAGAAAATAAAGTTATCAATTTTTAAAAGCCTTCACAATTCATTTCTTTCATTTTCCAATGTACATCTTTTTTCTTTTTTCTTTTTTTTTTGGCCTCAGTAAACCCATAGCTGACAATGTGATGATATACATTTTGTCTCAGATTGCTGAGGAAGAAGAAACTATCTTGAGGCAAAAACAACAGAGACAGCGCTGGAGAGGATGATGGGCTTTTGTGTTAGTTTATGGAGCGGTAGAAGTCTTTTTTTGAATGGGCTAGGACAGCATAAAAGATTTTATTCAGTTGAATAATGATATTTCAGGCTTAGCTCTGGCAGAAGTAATATATTCCAACAATGCATTAAGCAATATAAAATAAAATAAAAATTAAACTCTATAAAACGCTGGGTTCATCTTATCCCTCTCACCTCAAAGGCAATACAAGGATTATGACTTGATATGAGGAACAATCATATGATATGAGGACCCTCTCTTGGTCCCACCACCTGCTCAAGCACGCTTATGGGAACACAGGAGAGGGCCTTTTCGACGGCTGCTCCCAGGCTGTGGAACTCCCTCCTAAGAGGGACCAGGATGGCCCTATCCCTGCTTCCTTCTGCAAGCAGGTCAAGACCTTTTTATGTCTATATGCATTTGGGAAAAGGTTAAGGGGTGGGCTTTAGGGAGGTTGGCTGGGATTGGAGGAAATATGAGTTTTAAATGCCATTTTAGTGTATTTACTGTATTTTAATTCTGTTATTACCACACTGTTATTTCATTTTTTTTAACTTTTATATTGTATCTTTTAAACTTGTTTAGTGGAGCCTCCAGTGGTGCAATGGGTTAAGCCCTTTTGCTGGCAGGACTGAAGACTGACAGGTTGCAGGTTCGAATTCAGGGAGAGCGTGGATGACAGCTCTGGCTCCCCATGTGGGGACATGAAAGAAGCCTCCAATAAGGATGGTAAAAACATAAAAACATCCGGGCATCCCCTGGGCACCATCTTGCAGCTAATTTTCTCACACCAGAAGCGACTTCAGTCTTAAGTCGCTCCTGACACACACACACATACACACAGAAAAATTGTTTAGTGTGGAGTGTTTGCCACCTTGAGTCCCCATGGGGAGAAAGTGTGGTATAAATAAATAAATAAATAAATAAATAAATAAATAAATAAATAATAATAATAATAATAATAATAATGACATCAGTATGGAGTTTGGCCTAGACAAATGTGCCACAGTGGCATTAAAGAAAGGGAACTCACAGCGAGGACATAGAGATGCCAAACGGACAAACCATAAGATGCAATCAGCCGGAAGCCTATAAATATCTGGGCATAATATAGTTGGACAATATCAAGCATGGGCATGTGAAAAATATGGTCAGCAAAGAATATATCCAAAGAGTCAGAATTGTTTTGAAAAGCAAATTAAATGGCGGAAATACGATCAAGGATATCAACACCTGGGCCATCCCCGTCATTAGATACATTGCTGGAATTGTGAACTGGACACAAGCAGAGCTGGATGATCTGGAGAGAGAAACAAGAAAACTGTTAACAATCCACTACTCATTACACCCACCTAGTGATGTCGACAGACTTTACTTGCCCAAAAAATCAGGAGGCAGAGGGCTTCTGCAAGTGAAAAAAACAGTAGAAGAAGACAAACATGCACTGGCAGATTATGAGAAAGGCAGTCAAGAACCAACATCGAGGGAAGTCAATAGTAATAAACTGCTTAAAGTGCAAAAGACAAAGACTGAATACTGTAAAAACACAATCCAGAGCAGAAGAGAAAACTGGTGAAAGAAGGCTCTCCATGGACAGTTCCTGGAAAAATTGAGAGCCAAATTGACAAAGAAAAAACATGGCTGTGGCTCACAAATGGAACTTTGAAAAAGGAGAAGGAGGGCCAGATTCTGGTAGCCCAAGAACAAGCCATTAGAACCAATGCCATCAAAGCCAGAATTGAAAAGTTACAGAAAATGAACACGTCAAACTACTCTGGGATTTCCGAATTCAGACTGACAGAGTTTTGGAGCACAATACCCCTGACCTCACAATCGTGTTAAAAAAAAAGTATGGATCATCGATGTTGCAATCCCAGATGACAGCAGGATTAAAGAGAAACAACTGGAAAAGCTGACACAGTATGAGGATTTAAAGATCGAACTGCAAAGACTCTAGCACAAGCCAGTCAAGGTGGTCCCAGTGGTGATTGGCACACTGGGTGCAGTGCCTAAAGACCTTGGCCTGCACTTAAACACAATCGGTGCTGACAAAATTACCATCTGCCAGCTGCAGAAGGCCACCTTACTGCACGCATTATTCACCAATGCATCACACTGTCCTAAACACTTGGGAAGTGTCCGACGTGTGATCCAATACAACAGCCAGCAGAGTGATCTTGTCTGCTGTGGACTCATCTTGTTGTGTTTCTAATAATAATAATAATAATAATAATAATAATAATAATAATAATAATAATAATAATAATATTTTAAGGATGGATGGGAATTATCGTTGAATTCTCGATTTGTTTTGGAAACAGAAGACCACTGAATGCCATATTTAGATGATCCCCGCTTCCCCCATTCCTCTGGTGAAATGAGATCCCAAGATGAGGACATGAGAGAAGGCCTTTTTGGCAGGTACTTGCAAGCTGTGGATGTCCCTCACATACAAGGAAGGTGAAGCTTCTGTTCCCATTGTTATTCCTTCCACCTAAGGTAAAGATGGTATTATTTAGATATAATTTTGACCATGGCGTGGCTGCTTTGGAGGTGTTGCACTCCTCCCATTTCTTGCTTTGTTTTAAAACTGTTAATTTGCTCCATAGTTTAATTTGATAGCTTATTTGGTTATTTTTGTGACTATTCTTTTAATTTTTGTTTGGTAGCTGTGATTTTTTTGTAACCATATTGTAATCTCCTTTGTGTCCTAGGCAGGAACAATGTCAGGATATTAAATAAATAAATAAATAAATAAATAAATAAATAAATAAACAAACAAACAGACAAATGTTACTCACCCAGAGTCATCCCACTAGATACTGGTCATCAACTTTTGTAATGGTTAGGCACATAAAAATGGGGAAAACATGAATTAAAACACTTATCTAGGTCTTCTAGAAGTTGACTACAGAATCATGCTAGATGACTTTTAGAGAGAACATATTAACCAAATCTGCAAAAATGACACCGGCAAAAATGTAGGGCTGACTGTATTTTATTCTAATTGAAGAATGTAAATAACTTGCAACTCCAGTTTTTGTAAACTAAATGACTGCCATTTCTTCTCAAACTGAAATAAGCACTCTGGATAAGGCAGTCCTGCCAAGTTATTACTACTCTGGTGTTCTCAACAGAAATCTAGAGCAGGCTTTAACTACCTTCATAACTTGTTGTCTTCCCTGTATAAAAGGGGCTATCAACTTGTGGCCTTCTGGGTGTTATTGAGATGCACCTTCCATCATCCTTCATGATTGGCTATGCTGGCCAGGACTAATGGATTTTCAGTCCGGTAACATCTAAAGGATTCTCACATATTTTAAGTAAACTACTCTAATTGTCAGCACATCCTTTGTCATTAGCTGAACTAACAACATCAGGTTGAATGTATCTTAAATAAGAAGTCAGAAAGTCATCAGTACAATAAAAATGTCATTTCCTTTCTTTTTGTCTCTCTATATCTCAAGAGGTTAAGCTCTTGATCTCTTGCATCACATCTGCTTGACCCTTAGAAGCACATTGTCATGTGGGTTAAGGTACATTAACCCAAAACAGAGAACTGAAGAAAAGACAAGGCTCACTCAGCAGTTCCATACTGAATAAGACTCAAGGAGTGCTCATTTAAAGAATACTCCTGAAGTTTGTGAATTGTAAGCATTACAAGATGCATATGCTACTGTTTCATTGGGTCATGCTTCAAACTTGTATAGGTGAGTAGCTATTTTTCATTTTTGAAGAAAAATCTGAATATCAGGATAGGTTTTCTTATTTAACATGCAATAATACATGCTATGTAACCAACAATACAACATTTTAATAAGATCGTTTTAAAATGAAAATAATATACTAATAAAAGTAAATTCTTGAAATTCTGTTTTATATTTTTCAGGGAATTTCAAAAATGTTTCTGTTCATGTTGTGGAGATTTGCTATATTATGTGTTTTAAAATTTCACTATCAGCTATGATCTCCTGCTGATAGAAAGCATATGATTAAGCTGAATGTTTTTTTTTTTTAAAAAAACTCTTTCATTACACAAGTGTTTCAACAAATAGTTAGGTACCTGAGGATGCATCTACATTTTAACTTTATTTAATTACATTGTAGAATCAATGTAGTTTGACACCAATGTGATAGAATCCTGAGTATTGTAGTTTAGCGACACACCAGCACTCTTGGCAGAGGAGGATGAAAACCTTGTAAAATTACAACTCTCATGATTCCATACCATTGGGCCATGTCAGTAAAAGTGGTATCAAACTACATTAATTCTAAAATGTGCTCTGAGAGAATCTAATCTGTCACAATGCTGATTAACTAGTAGTAAAAATAGGAAAAATAATTTTATTGCCACACAGTCTCATAGCCTTCACGGTTGAAAACAAGGACACATGTGGAAACACAAAATCACAGTTTGATCAAGATCATAAAGATTTTAAAGTATTTTAAAAAGTAGAGCTAATCATGCTTTTTCTGTTCTGTCATTCTTTTTGATTGCAATTGTCACAGAAACAAATCTTCAATGAATGAGATATAATCATAACACAGAAAATAGAATTCTTAGCAGTGGCATAATGCATTTTATCACAATAATGTGCTGGTTACTAATTTCTTAGGCTACATCCCACAAAGCAAATGCTTGTTGATGATATTGAGCTCTGAAATGATGGATCAATGACCTTGCTTTCCATTCCATTACCTGCTGCTTTGACACCCGTAGCCATCCAAATAATTATTTTGCCTTTATAGTAATGAGAACATTAGTGAAATTGTACATCTCAAGGGCCAAGGGCAAAAGCAATAAAAAGATGGGACTATCATCCCAGTAACATATCCTACAACAAAAAAATGCAATTCCTACTGTTACTTGGGGAATGTTGCATGAAAATTATGTGGCCCCATTTGGGGGAGTGTTTGCATATTACCTGCGAATCCTGACAAGAAGAAATGACTTTCACAGGACTCCAAAGAATAGCTGTTTGGCAGAATCAAGACCAGAACATTTAATGCCTGTAGCCCTCTTTGGGATCACTAAGTTGAACAGAAAACTAGAATCTCAGAGATTCATTTTGCAGGTTCAGCAACATCCGTAGGAACAGAGGCAACCTGTGTAATTTGAGCCACCACAGGCATGGCATACTGACCCTCATGCCCTCCACTCAGAAAAATATTAGAAGTTACTTCATACAGAGAATAAGAAAGACATGGATTACAAATAGTTGAACTCAAGGGGAGGGAAGGTAGCAAGAGAATGGAAGCAACAGAATGTTGCAAATCCTTGATTTCTTTGATCCTGTTGAAAGCAGTGGATTTAAGAAGGAAAACTGTTCCACCCCATTTTACTTTCTCTTTATTAGAGGGACTTTAGTAAAAATCTAAGTATCAAAGAGTGAGCATTACAAAAGGAGTTCTGGCTTCCTCCCAGAAGAGAGGATCCCTTAGGGCACTTTGAGACAGAGCTAAAAGCTGTGCGGAAATGGGTTAAAATTGCCTGTTTCCATGTGGGTTCTAGTCCCCACCCCCAACCCAAACCCCAGGCTTCCCCTGGGGGGATGGTGGCTACATACCATTGTGAGTCAAATCGGAATGGCATGAAGCCACTCCAAAGCCCCCCGATTTCACCCAAAAACTTACCCAAAGGGGGCTGGCAGCCATAGAGCCTGTCTGTAACATCCTCCTGGCTGGAGGAAATAGTGACTCAGGATGGAATGCAATACTATAAGTCAATCGTCACAGGTCTAATATCCCATCAGACCTGGATCTTTCATTAAGGTCCAGATCTGATGAGGTATTTAATTAATGCAGACTAAAGTGGGAAACCCCAGTTTACTCCACATTAATTCGCTTTTACCAGAGGCGTCCTTTGGATGCTGATCAGAGTGGAAACTGATTAGAGTGGATGGACTCCAGGAGTGACATTATAGTTTTCAGATCTATAGTACAGAGGGACTCATTACAATGGCTAGTCAAGCACTAAGTTACATCCAAACCATTTATTGTGCCAGTGAGAATGGCTTTAAGTGGAGTCCCATTCACTACGTTATCACCAGTAGGGATGATTTTTGCTGACTCCCTTCTTCTTCTCACTGGCATTTTACTTGCTATTCTCTTCATTGCTCTACTGAATAGGGAGAGAGATTTGGCAAACTGGGTCTTACACCAATGGATCCCAAACTTTTTTGTTCATAGAACTCTTCAGCTAGCACTTAAAACCTTTCCATAAAACCTTAACTTTATTTCTGTGTTTTTACTAAGCATTGTGAACCCACAGAAGTTTTTCCTTCTTTGTTCTACTCCTATTGCTTGAGTGTTTTGTATAATGTAGTAAGTTTGGAAATAAAGAGAATGTTTTAAAACTATAACCACAAAACTTTATTTTGGCACAAGGAACTATTGGATATAACAATAAATATTTACTTTAGTACAAGAAAATATCGGATTTACAGCTAATTTGATGAATGAAATTGCTTCATTTTTGTACTTAAAATGATTTTGACATTTATGTCCAACAGCTGAATATATAAATTCAACTTCCTCCTAAATTGGGGGAGGGGAGGGGAGGGGAGGGGGAAGGATTCGAAGCCTAAGTTGAAAAGCCTGATTTGCATCAATAAGTGGCCACAAAAGGGAGCAGAATTTAAATATATTTTCTGGCTACTGATGGATTAGTGTTTGAAGATAACCTGCCTTTCCCCTTCCTTCACATCAGAAACAATCAAATAATTGGCCTTGTGTAGTTTTAAAAAGCTATTTTAAATTTGATTTTTTAATGAAACCTTAAGATGCTTTTGCAGAACCTTGGAACACAGTTTGGGGGCCGCTGCCTTAAACCTGGGCCTCCCAATGGAACAGCAGAAGGCTTTGCTGAAGTCTAACTCTTCAATCCAGTATAACTGGTGGGAAAAACACAAAGCATCAGATCAAATGCTGGCTTCATTTTAATTTCATTTTTAATTTGTTTTGGATGGAAGAGATAGGGACAGTAGGCCAATGATATGTTGTGCTAATTCCATGGCTTGCTTTATCTTCATTTTATTCGTTATCGTTATTGAAATATGCTTTGGTAATGAAGTATTTCAGATCTATTTTTAATGGAAGTGTGATTTCATACTTTCATATTAAACAGTTTTATACAACTGTTTTTATACATTTTAACAGCAAATTGTCCAATGAATTTATGTAATAATCTAAACAAATTAAAGTCATAAATAAACACTGTGGTAATTAATTACTAACCATGTGCATCCAATTGATTGCTTGTTTAGATATGCCCAGTATGTGAGTTTCATTTACACCCCATACTTCTCAGTTCCCCAGTCCCCACTTAGGATTTTATAAGTTCACAGTTGTTCAGTAGTGATAGAAGCTTAAACGGAAATGTTATGTAATATAACATTTAATTCCAGTAAAAAACACCCAGTGTTCTTTTTCATGGAAGAAGCAGAATTATCAACTTCTGTCATAATTGTCTTCTGAACAATTGAAACATTTGTGATCATACAATCTTGTCACAGCCATTTTAAACACTTAATGTGAGAAACATTATACAATTTAGATTTTGAATGAAATGCATTTTTTCATTTCAGAAAATGCAAATTACATGTTTAAAAGTAAAAAAATCCATATAATTATTTCTCTATTTCTTTCTTCTCAGTGAGCACTTTGTCCCAAAACATGGTAAGAGGAATGGTGGGCCAAGCTATCAATTTGCCATGCACCTACCATGTCCGTTGGGCAAGTGATCTTACTGACATGTGCTGGGGCCGAGGCAGTTGCCCTAAGTCTAAATGCAATGATGAAATTCTTCGCACAAATGGAAGGACAGTGACATCCAAAATATCAAGCCGATACCACCTGAAAGGCTATGTGACTAGAGGAGATGTATCACTGACTATTGAAAACCTGAATGAAAGAGATAAAGGACTGTACTGTTGTCGTGTTGAAATCAGGGGCTGGTTCAATGATATAAAAAAGACCCTGAATCTTCAAGTTGAGAGAGGTGAGTGGAATTGTTGTCTTCTGTTTATATGTTTGTTGTTGTTACATATTTATATATTTATTGTTGTTACAGTTTTGCTATGTTTTTTGGTGAATCACTTTGACAGCAATGAAGCAGAGAGCTAGTATGGTGTAGTAATTAGATTGTTGCTGTAGTTGTGTGCCTTCAGGGGGTTTCCAATTTCTGGTGATCCTAAGATGAGCCTATTGTGAGGGCTTCTTGACAAGATTGGTTCAGCAGAGATTTTACCTTCTTTTTAAGCTGAGAGTTTGAATGACCAAATCGAAATTTTAACCCTGGCCTCGAGGGTTCAAGTCCAAAATTTAAGACATGATCCCACAGTGGTTCTCAGTGGTTCGATTACTGGGCAACAATCTGGGAAAACAGTTCAAATCTTCATTAAACTCACCTTGGTCCAGCACCAAATCTTTCAAATTAGCCTACATTTCAGTTGAAGATAAAAATATGGAAAATGCAGTGCATGTTGTCATGAGCTCCTTGAAACATAGAAGAAAACACCAAAATAAACAGAAATGCAGAATATAGAAAAAATCACTTCCAACACAATCTTAAGTATATCTGTTCAGAAATAAATCTCCATAGTACTGAACCATAGCAATTAAAGTGGTGTCGAACTGCAATAGGGACCTCATGCTATTGCTCAGAATAAGCATCATAGGATGCTGCTTAGAGCTTTCTTTGGGGATGGAGATCCACACTAGCCATCAGACGACGTCACTCCCAACCAGGATAAAAACATCGGCAGATGCTTTCCCCACAACACGGAAGGCTTCCCATGCTTCTTCTCTATTTGGGTGATACTGCCCCTGTGTGATGGGAAAAGTGTCATCACACCAGATAGCCGTTTCTCCACACCTCCCCATGAAATGAAGCCCTAAGTGTACAGTGTAGATGCACTGCTAATCCAACATTATATCATTATATCATGCTGCCTTTCCTTTTAGTATATATGGGTACTTAGCAAAAAGTGTGTTCAAAAGGATTGAGCAAACATTTATGATAATGTAAAGATGCTACCATAATTTTTTGTTCTTGACTGATTTAGTTCCAAATCCGTAGGCATGTTAATATATAATGTTGTTTTGTTACAGCAACAACCACTATCTTCACCACAACTATAACCACATCTCAGATGACTACCACTACACTTACCACTACCTCCTTGACAACCACGCCAACAGTACCTTCTACTTTTCGCTTAACAACTAAACCTACTTCCACATCAACCACTCCTGCTATTGATGATCCAACACTGTCCACATCTTCTGTGTCAAGAAACATTGCAGTTACAACTACAGCTCCTTCTTTTCTCTTCATAACTGAACTTGCTTCGACAACAACCGCTTTTGCTACTGATGGAACAACATCGCCTGTGTTTTCTGTATCAAGAAGCAATGCAGCTCCTACCACAACTCCATCTTTTCTCTTAACAACTAAACCTGCTTCTACAACAGTCCTTTCTACTACTGATGGTCTAACACTCTCCACATCTTCTGTGTCAACAGCCAGTGCCTTTCTTGTAACTGCTCCACCATTATTAGACACCAAATCATCACCAACCAGTTTTCAAAATGACTTTGTTACCACAGAGACTGATTCTCCTTCTACAGGTAAAATGTAAAGCAGAACTACAAACAATCACTTGTTTGTGCTTTATTGTAGCTTAAATGGTTCATTGAGAACCCCACCTTTTCATTTAAGTATCTTATTTGTTTACTTCATTTCCACCCCACCTTTTTTGACCCTGGAGGGGAGCCTAGTGTTGCCATGTGGGAAAATGCTTGACAGGTTTCTGATTTAAACTGCACATCTGCTTTTGCCCTATGTGTTGCTGCTCTCATGAAGTTTTGCATTTGTCTCGCAAAACAAACCCTGCACATAGTAGTAGATCTCTTTGATGCTTTAATTGCTATCACTTAACTATGTTACGATTTAACTGAAAGGTAGGTTGCCTTATCATCCTGTGCTGGTGAAATCTCTGTCCCCTAAAATTAGCTCTTTGATTGGGAAGTTGAAATGAGGAAGATTAAAAAGAGCCCTGCATTTCTTGAACAGCTCAGAATATATTTATCTAGGGTCTTTATGTTAATTGCTTCAAGAACAAACTGAAGAATATGCTTGTCATATTTTTTCTGGTTAAGGTTTGTACCAAATGGTGACAGACATTTGCTATAGCTCATTATTTTATCTACTTATGCCTCATATAATTTGTGGTGTTTTTTTTTTACATATGGTTGCTCATTGGAAGATAAATATGGGCTTAATTTGTAAATGTGATTGCTGAAGTTCAAATTAGATGTTAAAAAAAGACACATATTGGGTAAAAATTATCTATTCTCTTCAACTGAAATTTGTTAAGGATAACAAATTTGCAAATGAAGCATACTAAATATAAGAGCGGTAGGTGGGTAAAGACACATGCTATGGCAAACAGACATCTTTTGTCATCTTTTATCTATTAAAAATGTTAAATGTGCAGTCTATTAGGATCTGAAACATGTATATCTGAAGAAATACTATTGAAGGCCCTTCCATACAACCATATAACTCAGAATATCAAGGCAGAAGATTTATGACAGTATAAATATTGCAATTCACATTTTCAGTCATGGCACCATTCTAACAATTGCAAATGCCCCACCTACCTGCCCATTTTAGAAGCCAGACAAAAAGGTGTCCTGAAGCACTGGAGGGTAGGATGCTGAATTATAACATGTCCACTCCTTCCCACCAGTGAAGTGTTGTGACAAGGAATTGTAACAGGACCTGCAAATGGATTCTGGGGGTTTGAATCAGGAAACATAGCTATAAATATGGGGCTCTGATCATGCTGCTTATATATGATGTTGAAGAATATTGGCCACTATCTAGTTTGACCTTGAGTGACCCACATGATCCGCAGTTAAATATGTTAGCAGTGTAATGTGTTTACAAGATGTGAATTTAGTATCATTAACTTGCCTCTTAGACCCTATTTACACCACCATCAAAATGCACTGCATTTTATGGTCAGTGGAAGGTCATACAATCCAGTTTAACTGCATTATAATAACTTTTCTTCTTATATTCCACCTCCATCTCCCCAAATGGACTCGGGGTGGCTTACATGGGGACCAAGCCCAATATAAACAAAGGTTACACAGTAATACAATTAAAAACATATAATAACAACATATATTAAAACAATTGAATGCAAGACATCATAAAACATGAGTCAAACATCAAACAACCAGTAGCCGAGAGAAGTGGGAATGTGCAGATTTGAAACTAATAGGGCAGAACAAGGACTTGTGGAAACGCAAACTGTAGGGCCAGCATTGATCTGGATTATATGAGTCTACTCTACACTGACCTATAATGCAGTTCAGTCTATACTATAATGGCAGTTGTAGATGAGGTGTATTGCTTTTAACATCTTCTCCATTATCTGGTGCCACTAACAGATGCGGCACAATGTTCCTACCCTTTAGATCACAATTCATATCATTTTACTGAGCACAAAGTATGGTTAACACTGTCGCTGAGTTTTGTGCTCTCCTGATTATTCTTCCAAAGAGAAGTGTGAATTTCTGCCACATACCCCAGCCTTCAAAGCAACAAAGATATTAACTAGATTTGGACTGTGTGCTGTGAAACTATAGAAAGTGCTTAATTTGTTATGGAAAGAACCTAATCCAGCATAAATGTTTATATGAGCAAAACTATTTCTTCAGACTAGGGCAGACTTCAGACATGATCAACTGCAACTCCCAATAATGTGTATCCTAATAATGCACATATGTTAAAGCATGTTTTCAAAGTAATGCTAGGTTTTTTTTATCATACACCACCGTTATTAGCTAAAAACATAATGTTTATAACACTAATAAAATAGGCTGCTTCCATTGTAGCTATATTTGTGACATAACTGAATTATAGATTTTGAAAGACTTGAACCATAAATAAAGAGGTAGAAGGTCCGTTACATAACTGGAATTTTCTATAAAGGCAAGTTGTTGTTGTTGTTGTTGTTGTTGTTGTTGTTGTTGTTGTGTGCTTTCAAGTGATTTCCAACTTAGGCAAACTTATCATGGGCTTTTTGTGGCAAGATTTCTTCAGAGGGGGGTTTGCCTTTGCCTTTCTCTTAGACTGAGACACCGGCTTGTCCAGTCTCCAGAATCATAGTCCAATGGTCAAGGTACTATACTATGTCAGCTCTCAACATGAAGGTAGTGTTAAAATAGGGAGAGTACTCAGAGAGTGGCAGACTATAATTAGCTTCTCATATTGGCTAATGCTAGTGGTACATGCATTCCAACAGTATCAGTAGGACCAATTTCTCCCTTTTCTAATTTGAAATACAATGTGAGGTTTAAACCACAACAATAGTTCAGTATTACCAAATTCAAGTTCAGAACTGCTTAGCACGACACATTTTCCAGAAGTTACTCAATGTCACTCTGCAACACAAATGTTGAAATCACACTCCCCATCTGAAATGGGTGGCATGTGAATTGATGAAATTACTATATCATTTCCTTCTGCCCATGAATTTCTTTGTTTCCCATACAACTAGTCAAATCTTGTTTTCCTTATCTAGTTAGAAAAATAGTGAGCAATGCTGTGTTTACACCTCTCTTTTGTATAGGGTCCTTTCTTTTGCTTTCAACATTCAATTCCTGCTCTTCTTTTTGGTGATAGTTCCCCCACCCTCAGAAAACATGCAAATGCTGTGAATATATATAGAAACTGCAAGTCTCTATAAAGACATGATCTCAGAGTGTGTCTCTGTACACAGCAAATTCCTCATGCCAAGTGATATATTGTAACCCTGTTAATGCACTCTGAGAATTTATGGACCAAAAACAGTCTTTGAAATGTTTATCTCCTAAGGATGAGCTGAAGCAACACTCTCCAGGATGTGTAGTTTGTTGTTTATTCGTTCAGTTGCTTCACACTCTTCATGACCTCATGGACACCCCCAGCCCCTTCAAGGTCAAGGTCAAGCCAGTCACTTCAAGATGTCACTCTCCAATTTATTAGATTTTAAAAATGTCTCTACTACTACACTCCAAGAGGCTTTCTGAAAAGATTTCAGAAGACTGCAGTAACATGGATCTAAAAACGTTATGTTTCTAAAGCATTATCCCACAACTTCCTTTGTATACCATTGGTGGGGGAACTCTCCCTTCCCATTCAATGATTACATTGGTCCAAATTTAATTTGTGGAGGGCTGTATTTTATAAACCCATTAAAGCCCCATTTCCAAGAGAGACATGGATGATGGTGGCAAGGGCTGTCCTTGTCTTCTCAGAAAGACCTGTCTCATCTTGACACTATTTTCTCTTACTGTATCATCCTTTTGGCCTTAACCAGCTTAACTTGTTGCCAGGCATTTGAACAGATTTGATTAATTGACTCAATTTCCAGTTAATCAATCTTATCATTTGTCATTTTAGAGAAGGTATAGTTTTATATTGTAGACATTTGTATTCAATGAGATACACTTCTATTTCTTTGCTGAGTTGATGTATTTGTTCATAAAACTATTTTTAAAAGAACATTTAAAAAAAAACCTAGTTCTATCTGTTTTCCCATCTTTTTATTGTTCCTAATCTTCATGTCAGATATGATGAGAATATGTGGAGATTCTATGAAAAATACCATCTTGAACATAATTTTTATCCAAGATTACTTGACTCGCAGCAATCAGGTTCTGGATGAATATGAGAAAAGGATAAGAGGGTAAAAGATGTTCCCTGGAGCTATCAGTCAGAAAAAGTATTCATTAAATATTTATAATGTGCTCTTATGATATGTGACATATTTTTGTTTCTTTTCTTTAGGGCAAACCATATGGGATTTTTCCAGAGAGGTACTGGAGAACAGATTGGTTAATTGTAACAGCTATCCAAATAACTAGCTCTCTGTCAGTTGTTCATTTTTCTAAAAAAATGAAATATGTACTATCTGCTGTGTCAGTTCATGTTATTTTGCTGCCTGAGGAAAATGCCCCCCTTCCTCCTCAAGTCAAAATGGACAGTATCCAAAGCCATGCATTTGGCTAAAAATCCCCAAAGTTGAATCAACACCCCACCCCCTCTCTGGCAATAGAAAAACACACATAACAAATTACTAACAAATCAATGTCCTTTCATGAGACCCTAAACTTGCTGCCTGTCCTTTCTTATTAATAACGTTCCCCATCTACACCACACTCCAATATTTGGTCACATGCATCCCCGTTTTCAGCTGTGAAATGTTGTAGGGTATGCTGTCCATGTTGGTTAATCTGAGCCATAACATCTTCAAAAGTTTCTATTTGTCTTTGCTGCCTTAGTATTATCCAGTGCTGATTCCTTCTGCTCTGGTGATCTGCAGTCTCCCCTTGATACTAGTGATACGGCGAATGAAATGTAAGTATGGAATATGTGATGTATGCTCTGCTGCAAACAAATAATTTTATTGAAGATAACTGTTGGAATCCCAACCCCCCCCCCCCCCCCCCCCCCCCCCAAACTGCAGTGAGCAATTTGTGATGTTCCAGTTATCACGGGACTGCAAGTTCTGCTGTCCCTCACCATTAGCTATGCTAACCAATATTGACAGAAGTTGCATTCCAGCTGAATCTGGTGAGCTGCATATGCTCTGGCCCTGTTTCAAAGGAAAATAAAAGTTCTATATTTAGGACTTAATTACACAAATTTGCTATTCCACAGCACCTACGTGAGTTACGATGGATGCATGAACACAGTCATCATCACATCTCTCTTCATTCATACAATAGTGCCGATTTACTGATCTGTGGTGCCACAGGTGTACTTTTGCATGTCCTTGTAACACTTCCCTTCCGCAGTTATGCTGCTATTGACTGGTTAAGTCCATCAGGAAATAGTTTAATTACAGGAAAGAGTTAGATCAGTAATAGGATTTGCATGGCATTGTGTGATAAGGTTTCTCTTCCTCTGTGTGATAAAGTCCTTAGAAATAGAGTTAAGGAAGGGGTGTTGAACCCTGTCCCTTTCCTTGACACAGATAAGCCTAGCATCTTTTATCTTTCTGTTACTGAGTTCACAGTATTTGGAGATCTACATGTTGCCTATCTCTGCCCTAACACTTAGGTCTTGAACACATACCCTTCTCTCACACTACTCAGAGCAATGAGTATGAGATTTCATAGACTTTCTCTTCTTGTTCTTCTTTCTTTTTTACTTTGTTTTTTTAATGTATTTTGGAAAATTTCTAGTTCAGGGGAGAAGATGAAAAATGTAGGCAAGCTGTAGGCTAATAATGACTTCTGGAGTATTAAAGGAAGAGACTAAAGTTGGAAATGCAGCTTGTTCAGCATTTAAAGAGTTATTTTAGAGATAGCAACAGTGATAGGATTTAGCAGTTTACAAATACCCAATAGTTCCTAATGTCTCATCCATTTATACTAAAATCTCTAAATCTATACATTTTATACAGAACATTGTATACAGAACCATCTGTATCCAGGGGTTCTGAATCTATGAATTCTTGAAAATATTTGAAAAAAATCCAGAAAGCAAACCTTGATTTTGCTTTACATCAAGTACTATGCTTTGGCCTTCACAGATCTCCAGGACCTCCCTGACACTCATTTGATTTTTTTCATAATTTTATATATTATATACTATATGATTTTATATAATAGGACTTGAGGACCCACAAATGTTAGTACCCACAAGGTAGTGGGTGTGGTCCTGGAATCAAACCCAAGCAGTAGTGAAGGCCCATTATACTGATACACTTAGGGAGCATCTACAAAGACATTATAATCTGTTTTCACTGTATGTTCATTCAGTACACAGGATTTCCCACATTTCTGGTAAATATCATGGGTTACATTGAGCTAATCCAGTTTTAGCTCCACATTAGGAAAACTCAGGGGACGCATAGGAATGTGCCCAAATCTCTAGAACAAACTCATGGCTTTGGGGCCATGTGAACAACAGGTTCAGGTCCAATTTGGATCACTCTGCTGTCTACATGGAATACCACAATGGTGCCTATATGTTCCTTCTTCCTGGTCACGCAGGCACCTCTGCTGATTTCAGCACAGAGTGCCTGCAATGGCCAGAAGCTTATATAGTTCCTGTCCATGTTGCAGTAGCAACATGGACAGGGAGGTGACAACTCAGCATGGCTGGAGTCTGACCAGTTTCTGCTATGAGTTCAGGACATTGCACAACCATTGTAGCTAATTGAAAGCATTTCTCCACTGCTCGAGCCCCAGATTTACTGGCTAATGTAAACTCACCCATAGCAATCTTTCCACTTATCTTACTACGAAAAATGAATCTAACTTTGTTCAGAGTTAGCACAGCATCCTCAGAGAGTTTTATTTAGATGTTTTTGCTCCTTAATCAGAATTGCTGGCTGCTGTACACGTGCATTCTATATTAACCAGAAGCAGAATTACAAGAAAGTCCTGAAGATCAGGCTCATTGGCAAGTTGGCTTCTGTGTAAACATTCATGTTTAAATAATCTGTATCACCAAATAATGACTTTTTGAGTTAAACAAGAAGACACAGTTTCACAGATGAGTCTTCTTGTGATTTATGGCTTCTTTTGGAAGATTTGATGAAGAATAGCTATAAATCAGAAATTGAGTATTATTCATTTAATATGAAATTTACAGCTGAAGACAATGGATTTTATATTCTTATGACTTCTGAGATTTTTTTAAATAAACCACTCAGTATGCCTTAATTACTCTGTCAACACATCCTATATTTTATGTTTAATTTATTGACACTATTGTAGTCAGGTATTTGAAAATGCATAAATCTTACTAGAGTTCATAAGGATGTATATTGGTAGGTTACATACCTGTGACCATCTTTCTTTGAGTGGTGCTCTGCGAATTCACACTTGTGGAGAGACTGCGCCTGCGCGGGCTCCAACAGAAACTTCATACCCTCGCAATTCCTATGCCGCTAAGGCAACGAGAAATTGGAGGTTTGACTGAGGGGAGGCTGGGCGGGTTAGTGTGAATTCGCAGAGCACCACTCGAAGAAAGATGGTCACAGGTATGTAACCTACCATTTTTCTTCGTGGTCTCTGTGAATGCACACTTGTGGAGACTAGCAAGCTCAGGTCCCGGAGGCGGGAAGAAGGCAAACCGACCATCAAATAAAGGGCCAAACAATTTTATTAAGTGCAAACAAGTCATGAACAAGGTATCGTTATCACTTCATAAGAAGGGCACAGTGCATAAACGTGTGGGAGTATGTGATCCTCCCGGCCACATGTAGATAGCCAATTCACAGTGAAAAGACACTCAACAAGTGAGGGTATTCTTGGAACAGTTACGTAAACCTTTTGACCCTTGGTAAACAAAACACACTCATTGCAATGAGGGTACTTCAAGTAGTTGCATAAACATTTGGCAGTAAGAAAAAACACATTAGTAGAAAAGGCACTAGACATGATGAGCCCAAAGAGGCTCGAGTGCAAGGTTGCCTGTATGCCAGGCAAGTAATGTAACGAATTTAACAAGTGCAAGTACATTCACCATCGTCAGTAGTCAGCTCTATGTGAGCAACCCGTGTACATAGCAAAAAACATCATAGCGTGTCGCACGGTACCGAAACAAACCCACGGTACCACGAGACAATTTGGTGTGAGATCCTATGGCGGACACGACGCCAAAATTGCCCTCCCAAAGGCCATGTCAGGTGTACACCTGGTATTCAATCTGTAATGTGAAACAAATGTCTGGGGAGTTTTCCAAATGGCCGCCTTGCAAATAGCGTCCAGAGGAATCCCCTTAAGAAAGGCAGTAGACGCCGCCATTGCCCTGGTTGACCGAGCCCGGACAACCGAGGGGGGTTGTTGTCGAGCCAGCTGATAACAAAGCTCGATGGTCGAGGTAATCCAGTGAGAGAGGCGCTGTGCCGTGATCGGCAAACCCATTTTATCATGGGCATATGCAACAAAAAGTCGTTGAGTCCTTCGAGACTGAGCAGTTCTATCCCTATAACACAGCAATGCTCTCCGCACGTCGAGCATATGGAGTCTTTTCTCCGTCGGGGTAGAGGGAGATTGGAAAAACGAAGGGAGAACAATGTCTTCGTTAACATGGAAAGGGGATACAACCTTGGGTAGGAAAGTCACATCTGTGCGGAGAACTGCCCTATCCTCGTGGACAACAAAATATGGTTCGTCCACTCTTAGCGCCGCCAGTTCCGACGGCCTACGGGCCGAGGTGATCGCGACCAGAAAGGCCACTTTCCAGGAAAGAAGCCGAAGATCGATAGACGCCAGAGGTTCGAAGGGAGCTTGTGCGAGCTGTGTCAGCACGAGGTCGAGGTTCCAGCCGGGAGTTGGAGAACGAACCGGAGAATGAAGATTGTTGAACCCACTCAAGAAGGACTTCACCGAGCTGTCCTTAAACAAAGAGGCCTCCCCTCTTCGCTGAAGGTGCCACGAGATGGCCGCCAAGTGAGACTTCAGTGATGACAGCGACAGACCCCGTTCAGTAAGGTGCAGTAAGAACAAGAGAATTGACGGTACCGAAGGCTGAGGGTCGTCCAGTCCCTTCTCAGAGAGGAAAGCCTGGAAGCAGTTGAGGCACGCCGAGTAGCACTTCTTCGTCGCCAGTTTATGAGCTGCAGCCAGGATAGGAAGAACGCCTGGACAGAGAGACTTCAGAACTGGATCCTCCACGCCGAAAGGTGAAGAGAAGCAAGGTCAGGGTGGAGAAGCTGGCCCCCTTCTTGGGAGAGTAGATCTTGCCGAAGTGGAAGGCGTCTCATCCGTTCCTCGGACAGCTGGAGGAGGACTGGAAACCACGGTTGTCGTGGCCATTCCGGCGCTATCAGGATACAGTTCGTTTGCGCCGACTGAATCCTCTCGATCACCCTCGGGATGAGCGGGAAGGGTGGAAAGAGGTAGAGCAGATGTTTCGACCAATCTAGAAGAAATGCATCCCCGAGACACCCCGGTACCGCGTTCGGAGCCAGGCGCACGCCGAACTGCGGCAGTTGAGCATTTAGAGGTGACGCAAAGAGGTCGGCAGCCGGAAGACCCCAGTCTCTGAAGATCTTGGCCAGCTCGTCGGGGTTCAGTCTCCATTCGTGCGAGGTCGACTTCGTTCTGCTGAGCGCGTCTGCCTCGACGTTGGTCTCGCCTGGAAGGTGCAGGGCTGTTATCGACACCGACCTGGCTACACGACATTCCCACAGCTCCAACGACAGCTTGAGTAGTTTTCTCGAGCCTGTGCCGCCCTGCTTGTTTACATAAAACATTGCCACCATGTTGTCCGTAAGGATCTGGACAGGTTTTCCGGTGACAAGGAGGGCGAATGCCCTTAGGGCCTTGAAGATCGCCAGCAGCTCTAAGTAATTTATATGGCATTGTCTTTCTTCCAGGGACCAGAGATCGTGTACC